CTCACTGGAACTTCAGAGCCACACAGAGAAGGTTTGCTATTGAATGTAACCGAGGTTCTTTAAGCAAAGAGGAAGGAGATGGACATTGATTTAGAGTCCTGGTTTGCTTTCTGTTACCATGATAAACACCATGACCAATAACAACCTCAAAAGACTTTATTTTAGCAGATAGGCTACAGCCTGTTTTCAAGAAAAGTCAGGGCACTCAAGCAGGAGCCTGGAGGCAGGAACTGAAGCAGACTACGGAGGATGCTGCTTACTGGCCTGGTTCTTGTTTCCACTCAGCTAGCTTCCTTATACAGCCCAGGCCCACCTGCAGAGGATAGCCCACCCACAGTGGGCTAGGCCCTCCTCCATCAGCTAGCAGTGACAAGCAAGCAAGCACAAAACACCCACTCCAAAGACATACTCGCTGTTAGCCCAACTGATGGAGACAAATATCCATTTGAGACTCCCTTTCTCCCAGGTGTAGCAAGCTGACAACCAAGAATAACTCTCTTGCCGTGCGTCTGTACTGCCTTGGGAAAGAGCGATCATTGGAGCACATTATGAGGTATGATCCAGCAATGGCAAATAAACAGACAGATGGTCTGGGAGGAAAGCTGAATAGTACTTGATGACGATGGTGACGATGACGACAAGAAGAGGGTCTTGCTTTGTAGTTCAGGCTGGCCTTGAACTTGAAATCCTTCTTCCTTGGCCTCCTAAGTACTAGGATTTGGTCATAAACCACAATACCTGGCCCCTGTTACACTTTTACAATGACAAGTGACCAAAGCAATGGTTCTCAATGGCCAATTTGCTACCAAATTCAACTAATATTGAATGAATGCCCATCATAGACCAAATATTGTGGTAGTTATTATACATAAAAATGGTGAGTTTACCTCATGGATATTTAGAATGTAATGGGTAAAGTGAATATCAGAAAATTTACAAATAATTATAAAGCTATAACCTCTTTAAGTATTAAGAAGGAACCGTAGATTTTCTCTCCTTCTTTCCTTTTTCACCAGTAACAAAATTCACCTATAGCAATCTCAAGCATACAATGTGACATACATGGGGCTGGAGCAATGGTTCAGCACTTAAGAGCACTGGCTGCTCTTCCAGAGGACCCAGGTTCAGTTCCCAGCATCTATGGTGGCTCTCAACCATTTATAACTCCAGTTCTAGGTGATATAATGACCTCTTCTGGACTCCGTGGGAAATAGGCTCATGAGATACACATGTAGGGAATATACTCATTTTTGTAAAATCATAACAAAATTAAGATAAAAACTCCAATGTGGCCGGGCGGTGGTGGCGCACGCCTTTAATCCCAGCACTCAGGAGGCAGAGGCAGGCGGATCTCTGTGAGTTCGAGGCCAGCCTGGTCTACAGAGTGAGTTCCAGGACAGTCTCCAAAACAATACAGAGAAACCCTGTCTCGAAAAACCAAAAAAAAAAAAACAAAAAACAAAAAACAAAAAACTCCAATGTGACATACAAACATCATATTCTATCACTTTAGAAAAGCCTCTTGTGTCCTTCTGTATTTAATTTTCTTCTCCATTAATAGGTGCCTTGACTGATATCTTCTATTGTATATTTCTTCCTGTCCAGGAATTTGAACTTCGTATAAATGACTTCTCTTCCTCAGCAAATTATTTGTGTGTGTGTGTGTGCCCGTATGTGTGTGCCCGTATGTGTGTGCCCGTATGTGTCGTATGTGTGTGCCCACAGGCAGTGCTGAGTGTCAAATCCGGGGCCTTATGGCTCTTAGACAAGGGTTCTATAATTGAGCAAAGATCAGTAGTCAAAAGTTTCTGAAGGGCCGGAGAAATGGATCAGTGGTTAACAGCACTTGGAGGGGATCCAGGTTCAGTTTCTAGCATTAGGTGGCTCACAACCATCTGTAACTCCAGTTCCAGGAGATCTGACATCCTCCTTCTGGCCTCCATGGGCACTGCACAAACATGGTGCACATACATGCAGGCAAAATACTCAAATGCATAAAATAAGATAAATCTTAAAAAAAGATTTTGAGTTTAACCATATATTATGTGCTTTAAGGTAGTATGTATGTATAAATATATATACATATATATTTAAATTATGTGGTAGACAATATAGATGTCCATCTTTTTTTTTTAATCATGGTCTTTGAAAGATTTCCATTGGGCGGCTGTCAAAAGTGAAGTTGTTGTGAACATTCACACATAAGCTTTTTGTAGACATATATTTTCTTTTTTAGTAGGTAAATACCTAGGAATAGAATTTCTGGATCAGAGGGCAGGAATGGCTTTAACTTAGATAAAGCCCTGGATTTAATATATATAGTCTCCAGCCCCAAGAATTCTGAGTTAGCCTGACATTCCTAAGGACGTACAGTACATAGTTTTAACAGCACCCTGGAACCACTGGTCTAAATTATAGTTGTGGTGGTAGAGAGGAAGTTATTTCAGTTTGGTTTTCTTTTCTACCACAAAAACATATGAATGCAAATAATTTCTCCTTTTTCTTCCTGGTTAGCTGCAAAACAGCTTTCTCTGAATAGTTGCCTTGCAGCACACCCATAGGCCAGCTGCTGGGTCCCCTTTGAGGAGCTCCCGTGAAATGCAAGCTAAAGTGCGGGGAGCTTCTAGAAGCTTACAATCGTTAGGATGAGGAAACAAAAACAGTTGTTAGGGTGGAAAAGAACATTGGACTGAGTAGCAGATGAGGGGTGTGGCCTTGTGCACACTGGTGAGGTTTTCTCCGATGCCTTTCCATCCTTTCCTTACCCTTCTACCTCTAGTAGAAAAAAGGGAGACCCAGCTGTGGTCAGCCTGCTGTGACTCTTGACTACGAGATGATCATTGCTTCTGAGCATCAGATGCAGTGACAGACAGAATGGCTGCACACCCCCAGAGAAGAGGCTCCTAGTTTATAGGCAAAGAAACTGACGGCATAGAAACGGGAAGGGAGTCACTTAATGGATTAGGGCTGGCTGAGCTGGGACCAGAACCCAGGTGGCCTGGCTGCCAGCCCAGCTGACCACACTGCTACCCACACAGACTGAGCTTGCCAAAGACAAGCAGCCCATTGAGCAATTGCACAAACAACAATGACTGATGGATGGTCAGAGCAAGAAACAGGCACAAAGCAACTGCAAACCCATCACTTCCTGACCCTACATTTCCAGGCAGGCCTACTATGTACGCTCACTTACATGGCTTTGACCAGCAACTTGGCCCACTTTTTTGTGATCACGGCCAAAAGAAAAAGTCTGCCTTGTATTCAAGGTGGAGAGAGCCTTTGAGCTGCATCCCTGGTCCTAAAGAGTCTGTGGGAGTGCTAAGTATGACGGACATAGTCAAGACATGAGCACCAGTTGGTCCTGGAGGCCTTGGGGAAAACAGCTTTTGGTTTTGCATAGTTCTGCCTTCCCACCTCAGACTTACTTATCAAGGTCTAGTATGATCTATGGAGGAATTCAATTAGGATCAAAAGAAGTGACAATATCTAATTTGTCACTCAACAGTGGTCACAATCTGCAGTCCCTGAATCTTTTAAGCTCTGGCCAAATGTCTCTGCTTGCTAAGTTGCATGGTAAATTCTGGTATGTTACATGCAAGGCACCTCACTCTGCTTGGTTGAGGTATGTACACATAGCCTTAGGTCCAGCCCTAACCCTTCAGCTCTAAACTTAATGGTATCCTTCAAGAGATACAGATGTCCAGCAGGCTTCCTGTTTCAGGTGTCCATTTCCTACTCTGGGGGATTCTGAGCTCTCTCCCTCCCTCCCTTTTAGAAACCAAAAGCCCCGAGTGAGGGAAATGAAAAGCTGACTGCGTTCTGTGTTTTTACATCATAATTTTGACAATAAACACTGCTTTGAATAGGTGGACTGGGTGAGCACCACAATGTCAGGTGTCTGAACTAAAACTTGGGATTCTTCTGGTTAGAGTATAGCAGAGGCTGGCCCCATTTTCTGTTTGCAGTAAAGTGCTTCTTCCGGAAGAAGTCCATATTCTTTTACCAACGAGGCTTGTTTGTGCTCTCCTAGGCACAGCTCACTGTAACCTACAAGGCACATATGTTTGTTTTGTCTTATATCAAAGTACTTTAATGCATTTTATTAAGTCTAAATGTAAGATCATTAGTGCTTGGGATTTATGACTTTTGACTTTTCTATTTCCAGTATTGTATTATGGAGTGCAGTGCCTTTACATGGTAGGGCTTCATTAAACACTGATGTTGAATTATGCTGCAATGTTGTAAAAGCATATTAGCAGTCAAAAGTACTACATAACTTTCACTGACTATGCTAAGTCTGTGGCGAAGATGTCATTAGGGTGTCATTGTTATGCAAGTAAATACAGAAAAGGGTATGTTCACGTCAAGAGTTAAGGAACAAGTGGAATGCATAACTGGGCGGGGCTGGTTTGTAAGAAGCGATGTTCATTTTCCTCTGGTCGGTCCAGAAGGACTGCGTGGAGTAACTAGAATTTCAAACCTCTTCTCAAATATTTTCATCCTTCTCACCTTTCGAGAACTACTCTGCCCGTTTCTATTTCTTCCTAAAGTGCTGGCGCCAACTGAGGCGGCTCCAAAGTCTTAAAGAGTCCAGCCGAGCTCCGAGCTCCGGCTCAAAACTGTTTCAGCCCGGGGGCTGGGGGACGCGAGCCAAGAACGCGCGGGGTCACGCGCCGGGCAAGCGCCAAACCGGCCGCAGCCCCAGAACGGCCCTGAGGGCGGGGCTGCTGCGGGGCGGGGCTGGGCGGGACGGGGCGGGGCCGGCCGCGCAGGGCGGGAGGAGGCCCGGGGGCGGCTAGGGTGTCACCGCCAACCCGCTCCGGCCGGAAACGGGCGCTTGTTTCCGGCCGGACGGCCGAAAGCCACCGATCCTGAACCAGCCACTGGAGTCGGAGTGGTGACCCGGTGTGGAGCCGGCGGAAAGCCACTGGGAAGAGGCCAGCTTCGGTCAGTCCCGGCTTGGCTCCAGCTCCAGTTCCTGTGGAGAGCAACAGTCGCGGTCGCAGTGTCCGCCTCCGCCTCCATCGTCGTCGGGGGAGGGGCCGCTCGGACCCCGGGGTCACTGCCGAGGAATGAGGAGAGGCGGCCGGGCCCCGCGCTCCGCCCCGGCCTAGAGCCTTGCCCTGAGAGTCGCGAGGGTAACGGAGCCCCCAGCCCTGACACCCTCCCCGTCCTCCCCCGCCCCTCCTGCCTCTCCAGCGCCCCAAACTCCGCGCCTCCGAGCTCCACTGCTCCCTCTTTCTGACCAGACAAGCCATCTCCCTTGAGCACCCGCTCCTCGCCTCGCCGCTCCCTGCTTGGTCCCCACCTTCCCCTTCATGCCAATCTTTCACCTGCGTCCCGCGCTCCCAGCCCTGCCCGGCGGTTCCAGTCCTTTCCCGAGCTGTGCTGGGCAGTTTGGAAGGTCCCCTCTGGTCAGCTAGACTTTGGGGGCGGGATGGCGGAGTTTTAGGGTGGTCAAGATGCAGCCTCCGGCCCCCTCACCCCAGTAGGATAAAGTTCTTTTAAAGTCACTATAAAAGTAAAATGAAAAGACAAGTTTGTTCTCCTTATCCATAGCCAAACTGAGGTGCGTCCAGTAATGATGGAAGGGGTGGGGAGGGGAGGGGGAAGAGAGAGAGAGAGGGAGAGAGCAAGAGAGAGAGAGGGAGGGAGAGAGAGAGAGAGAGAGAGAGAGAGAGAGAGAGAGAGAGAGAGAGAGAGAGAGAGAGAGAGAGAGAGAGAGAGACTGAGAGACTGAGAGAGACTGTGTGACTGTAGGTGAGGAAATTCTGGGGCAGGCTTATGGACTTTAGAAAAAAAGTTGCTCTGAGCCGATGGAAACTTTAGAAGCTGATGATGAGTAAGCCGGGGGCTGCGTGATCTCACTCTTCTCATAATTACTAGGTTAACGGTGTGGCTCCTGTCGAGATGGAATGGGATTTGTTTACTGGGCCGGCGTATTTTTAGCTCGTCGGCTCACAAGGACCAGCCCTCAGAGTCTGTCTCTCCTCCCTGGTGATAGAGTCTCTCTAACCGAGGTGTCTTTTCTGGGCAAAAGGCACATGTAAAATTGGGGAAGTTGAAAGAATAGGACTGGTGATATTTGATCTAAGAGGCTTGCCCCCCATTTTTTTTCCTTAGGGAATTTTCATGACTGCAGAAGCCAAGAGCTAACTCATTGACTTTGACTTTTGCTTTCCTTATGTTTTTGTGAGTACTACAGTAGATGTTTTATTTAGGAAACTAGAAGCTGGTAATTTTGTCAGTCTTTGACTTTTCCTACTCTATATTTAGGTCTTTGAGGAGGCTGGATCCCTTTGTCTCTCAAAGCCCATTTCAGGTGGGAAGGCAGGGGGGAGTAGTGGTGATGAGAAGATGAATCCAAAAGAACAGCTAATTTCATCTTACCTTCTCCATTGCATAGCTAAAAAGACATTTAGAAAACGTGTTTCTTAGTAAATGAGGTTCTGTTCCTGAAGGGATGGAGAAGTCTGCCAGGGAGAATCAGACTTGGAGTTAAATGTTGGCCCTAGGTAACTTACAAATGAACACTTTCTAGGTAAACAGTGAGAAATTAATTATGTCCTTTGTTTTCAAGCAGGTCTTTTAAGTTTACTAACCTGCTGTGCTAGTCTATTGATATTTTGAAGGCTGACCAGAACTGTAAGATGAAAGAAATTGGCTGTTCCTCTCGTACAGACAGGGCTGAATAGCAGTCTGTTCTAACTTCACTAGTGAACTGGTGTCTTCAGAGTGCCTTCCTAACACAGGCCAGTTTCTGTGTACTTAGGGATTGAACACGAAGACAAATATTAGCTCATGCTACGAATAATTGAGAAGGTAAATATGCTGAAAACATAAATTCCCAAACCAAAATAGATTTTTTCCATTTCCCCCCACATTTTGAGTTATCAGCACCTTCTGCCAATCATTATCCATTAACTTGAATAATTTAGAATTGAAAAGATATCTGCTTTGGGCATTATACATTCAAGCAGGAAGTAAAGGTGGAAGACTGTTTCCAAACTACTACTGATTTATTTATTTATTTTTGGTAGTCTGATTTGTCTTATTCCTTTCATTTAGTACCAGGGACTTCTGTGGAGGAAAAAAAGTAAAACTTTGCCAAAGAAAAAAGGCTGGTATGTTGTATGCGGCAGGATGACCAGCAGTGGATTTTGAAGTGTTGGGTATGAGGCCAGGTGACTAGAGATGGATGCTCATTGTTAGATGTGGAGTTATGTCAGTAACTTGGAAATGTTCTTGAAGTAATAATTGCTTTATCTCTCTTTTCTTCTCCCCTCTCCTTCGACCCATTAGTGGAAAAATATCTCAAACAGTCTAAAATCACATATATCTTTTTTGAGTCTAGACTTTTAATAGTTGTTTTAATCCGTGTGAGTTGACTGGTGACAATAGTAGTTATGACATATGGGTAATTTCTATTTATATCTAACTTCCTTTTGTTGAACTGTATATATTCCACAGGGTGGGGATTGAAGAGTTTGTATAACCCTAGGAATGAATGTAGAACAAGCAGCCCACTAGATCTACCACTGTTTGTCAGTTCTTAAAGGGCTTTTTTTTTGAAATTTGAGATACATTATAAACATTAAGGTTAGCTATGATGGAGCAATTTAGTATTACATTGTTATGGGAGCATTGTATTGCTTGTTAAAGTTTCTGAGCTCCCAAATGCCTCAAGTATTCTAACAGTGCTGGCTGAGACTGAGAGAGAGAGAGAGAGAGAGAGAGAGAGTGTGTGAGTGTACGTGCGCGCGAGTGTAGGTAAGTGTCCCTCTTACCATCGAACACACTTATTTCCGTGGTATGTTTCCTATATGGAATAGTGACTAGAGTCTTAGTAGTGCCCAATAGATTCAGACGATTAAAATTTTGTGCAGTGCATTTTTATCATGAACTCCTGAATTTGATTGGCTTTTTAAGAAAATAGAAGAGAGGACTTAAAAAGTCCTTGCTGAATAACAATTGAACACTCCTATGGATAAAGCAACCTCCAAGCTCCAGTGGCAGCCTTTGGGGATATAGAAAGATGTAAAACAGATGTCTTTTCCCTTGGAGTGGGGGTTAGGGTTGGAGTGGGAGCATGTGAGACAAGGAGCAGAGCAAAGGAGGGTGGTGACGTAGAAATGGGGAGAGGCTTTAGAATGCTTAATGTGTTACACTGGCATGTATATGGACTGGAGAAGACTTGAAGTAACAAGGAATTAATGAGATTAAGCAAAGGGATGTTTGTTTTGAAACAGACTTGGGGGATTATAGATTAGTCATATAGAACTATGGACTATGAAATTAGATGGACTTTGGTTCTTCTCTTTATGATATGACCTTGCCCATGTCATTACCTATAAGTATTTACATTGAAAATGAAAAATGTTTTCTGTGTTAGAGATAAAAAGAAAAGATTTTCTGAGGGGTTGGGGATCCTTAGCATGCAAGGGTTCCCTAGTTTCTGTTCCCAGCACTGCACAGATTGGATGTGGTAATGTACATATGTAATCCCTACACCTGGGAGGTGGAGGCAGGAGGATCAGAAGTAGGTTTATGGGTACCTTTCCTTGGCTATGTAGTGAATTCAGGCCCAACCTGGGATACGTGAAACCCAGTCTCAAAAACCCAACAAAAGCATTTTCCAAATAAAGTATAGAATATACAATGTGCAATGATGGTATGTATGAATGACTAAGTTATGTGTGAGAGTGACTGGTGAGAATGTGGGTTGGTCAGGTCATGGGGAGTAAGAGGGTGGAAGGCACTCAGAGGCAGACTGTTGGATGTGGATTGAAGGGTCAATAGAGTCATTGTAGGGCCTTGAACAAAGGATGGATTTAATGAGAAATATTGAGCCCTTTGGTCTCAGGGACAAGGAGTCAGGCAGGAGCCGGTACATTGTGACTCTTCTGCTTCTTTTCTGTACCATCCTGACCCAAAGAGATATAGCCAGCAGATGAAAGATTCTTATAGAAGTTTTTGTATTTGCATATGTTGCTGTCTGAGCTCTGCTTGTCCCTGTCTCAGTGCACCAGCCTGTGGAGAAATCGCAAGACTATGGCGGGGTTCTGCTCAAAAGCTTGTGGTAAGGATAACATTATGTTTCAAGGGCATTTAGCTCTGTTAATGTAGAGAGTGCTGGCATAAGAATTCAACACTTCATGAACAAATTTATTATTTTAAAAATGCATTATTTTGCTTGGCAGTGGTGGCACATGCCTTTAATCTTAGTTCTTTGGAGACAGAGGCAAGTAGATCTCTGTAAGTTCAAGGCCAGCCTGTTCTACAGAGCTAGTTCTAGGACAGCCAAGACTACCAAAAAAACCCTGTCTCAAAAAAACAAAACCCATTATTTTTAAAGCCAGACTTATTTTGGAGGTTATACTGAAATTGAATTTACATTTCTAAGCCTATATTACTATGTAGCAAAGAAAAGACTAAGAATGATGAAGTACAATTAATTTTGGCTTAAATATATAGCTTTAGAAATCCACAAAATTAATAGTTCATTTATGGGTAATTAAAACTAGACTATACTAAGTATCTTAATGTAGGCTAATTTCAAAATCTGTGAAGGTTGAATGTGGCCTCTCAGGCTACATCCCTCATGCCTAAGAACAATTGATAGATGATGTCTATATTCTAGCTAGAATGAATCTTCATTCACAGTATCTGGGGAATCTCACTAGGGTAGCTTCCTTAAATGTCTTGGACACTGAAAAATCTTCTCTAGATATCCTGAAGGGAAATCCTTTGATGATATGACTAATTTAAGAAAGGGGGTGGTGGAGAAAGGTCTCCACATATAAACAAAAGCACACAGCTGTTATTGGGTGGACTTGCCACCCTCATCCCTGCCAGCCACCACCTTCTTGTAGTCATTACAAAACTATGTGTTTGTGACGTCATGAGCACAGGTTATTACTTACCATGAGTCGGGTGATTATATCTCTGAATTGGAAACCAGAGGCAGCAGAGGCAGTAATTTTATCATGTACAGCTAGATTGGGATTAATTTCAACTGTATTATTTAGTATGTCTTCTCTCTATTTCTTCTAAAAAAAACATTTTGGGGTACGAGGAGTTAATTAAACGTGTTTTTATTGAGTTCTATGCTAAGTGCTTGAAGGACCAGGGGGAAAATGACAGCTTTGTGTCCTTGAAGAGTTTTGAGTTCAGCTGCAAGTAAGAGGAACGGAGTGGATATTTATTGAGCTTGGATCTACGTGCCAGATACAATTTTTAAATTGAAAGTATACTGATAATTGTATAGCCCAGGCCTTATACCATAGACACATTAGGAGAAAGTACTCTGGTAATTATGAAAGGTACCACAGAGGAATTATAGCATTTCAGATGCTTTAAAAAAAAAAGTGCATTAGGATAGCCAGATATAGTAACACACACCTGTAATCCTAAATCCTATCATATGAGAAGCTGAAGATCAAAGATTTTGGGTTTCAGATTAGATCAAACGCAGACACACAGACACAGACACACACACACACACACACACACTACTAGGTGGAAGTGGCACATATCTTTAATGGGAGGTAGAAGCAGGCAGATCTTGGTGAATTCTAGGACAGCCAGTGCTACCTAGAGAAACCCTGCCTTAAAAATCAAACCAAAACAACCCCCCCAAAACCAAACAAAAACAACAACAAAAACCAATAAATAAAAGGAACCAAACAACATCCTGGAAAAAGAACAGTATTCAAGATATTCTAGGGGTGTTGATTAGCTTGACCTGAGTAGTAGTGAAATGAGGGTTGTGTTTATGGGAAGAGGGAGTCGTAAAAAGTCTTAATAAATTTATGTGTTAAGAGATAGAGAATAGGGAGAAGGGAACCTGTGAAGATTTTTCATAGAATGTAATAAGACAGTAAGGCACAAGTTGGCTTGTTGTTTTAAGGGAGAGAGACTGATGTCTGGAGTGTGAAATGAGGAGGCCTGAGAGTGGTCTTGAAGGTGGACTATAGAAAAGAGAAGAAATGAGATAGTGAAGGGAAGTTGAAAACGAGTGAGGACTGGTATGGAAGACACAGGAAGGCAATGAGTCGGGTAGGACTTGTTAAGCCTAGGCTATATGAGACACTGACTGAGATAAAAAAACATTGTGAAAATTTCCTTCTTAAAAAAGTTTGTATGTGTGTGGGAGGTCCTGCATGTTTATATGTGTGCCATGTGCATGCCTCTCTTGGCCAAGTTAGGGTGTCAGATTCCCTAAAACTATAGTGAAATTACAGGTGGTTGTGAGCCACCTGTGAGTGCTGCCCTGAACCCTGGTCCTCTGGAAGAGCAGTCAGTGCTCATAAATTTGTAGTTATCTCTGCAGCCTCACTTTTCTTTATTTTTAAGGAAACATGATGAGTTCAGTTTGGGATGTATTTGGTTTCAGGTGGCACATGTCTGGAAGAAAGCTGCTGTGGTTGCCAGAGTTAGGGGCCTAGGGCTGGGTGGAGATCGTGGATAACAGGTGTATCAGCAACGATGGAGCCCCTGGAGTTGGGAGGACCGGGCTAGAGAAAGCAGCATGGTAAAGACTGGCAGAGAGCCTGAGTGTTAGCATTCTTCCTCCAGGCCATCCCAGCTGTTCTCCTTTCTCCTCTCCTGTTCATTTGGTTCTGTTTTTATTCTTCTGCCTCATCCAGTGTCGATTGGCTATCTCCCATCTACAAACTCTGTTCTGTGTACTAAGGAGATGGGAATGGGTCAGGAAGAGTCTGTGCTCACAAGGAGGATAAGGGTCTAATTTAGTTGTTCCCAACCTGGTGAACCACGACCCCTTTGGGGTCACATATCAGATATTTACATTACTATTCATAACAGTAGCAAAATTATAAAAGTTATGCAAAAGCAAAAGGTTATGAAGTAGCAACAAAAAATTTTATCATTGGGGTCACCACAACATGAACTGTATTAAAAGGGTCACAGCATTATGAAGGTTGAGAACCACTGGTCTAATTGAAAGATAGTAAATACGTAAGTGTGATAAGAGCTGTAATAAAAGTTATGAGGTAGAGAGTGGAGGCCCACAGGTCAGTTCTGCTGTGGGCATGAAACAAGAGGACAAGTGAGAGGCCTCCCCGAGGAGGTGACATTGCCAGGGAATGATGAGCTAAGCATGTAGCCTGCAGGAGACTGAGAGTAGCACACTCTAGGCTGAGACTATACCTTGAGTGAAAAAGCTTAAAGGAATGAAAAGTCATGTAGTATTTGAAATTATGGCTGGCAGACAAGGCGGACAAGGTTAGACCATGTGGAGCTTTATGTCCTGTCAGTATGTCCGTCCGTCCGTCCGTCCATCCATTATTGAGATGGAATTTTATGCTATAACTCAGGCAGGCCTGGAATTTAACTATGTAGCTCAGGCTGGTCTTGAACTTATAGCTGCTCTTCTGCTAGTTTCATAAGTGCTATGTACAGATGGGAACCTCCATGCCTGACTTGTGTTTATTTTGTGGTGCTGAGAATTGAACTCAGTACCTCCTGCATGCTAGGTATGTACTCTACCACTGGAGTGCTTTATCTGGTAAAGCACTAAGTAAATGGTGAGGTAATAAGGATTGTAAGCATATGCTGATAAATTTCAAAACCAAGAAAAGCTATTTCAGTGGTGTATAAAGTGTATTTGAGATGAACAAGGCGAAGGACTTTTTAGTAATTTCCTGTTCAACCACAGCACATTTGTTGATGGAGTTTGTGGAGTCAGAGAATTGGAGGGATTATTATGTTTTTATTTGTCTTAACTTGTAGATTGACTACCTGAGGATTTAATCAGGATCACAGTAGTTTTGATAGCTCAGTCTTCAGTGGCTGACCTTTGGCAGGTGATTAGTAAATGTGAGGTCACCACACTGTTCTCTCTTGTCCTCTTTTAGTGTTTGCTTTATTCTCCCACCTTGTACTGTGCTAAAAGACAGAAGGCTTAGTGACCCCATTCCACTGTCCTTTCTGTGGTATTCCCCAAGGTTTGATTGAGAAAATCCTGCTTTGAAAGTACCACTGCAGAGGGACTTTTGATGTGGGTCAATTAAGTGCCCAGGAGGGAGATGAACAGTGTGTTAGGATTATCAGCTGTAATGGTTGGATGTAGAAGGAAGTCAAGGTTTTACTGAGTATGTAGGTTTATTTTTCCTTCCCACTAAATTCCCTCCCAAGTTGTTTTACTTAGTTTTAAATTGGGCCAGCAAAACTTTGGTTAGGAATAGGCTATGGCTTATGGTGACCTACTATTGTAATTCCAATACTTAGGGGGCTGATGCAGAAGGATGGTGAGTTTGAGGCTAGCCTATACTATAGTGCTGAGACACTGTCATCGTCCCCCCCCCCCCCCCCATCCCCAGCCAGCATGGTGGCTCATACCTATAGTCCCAGCACTTAGTAGGCTAAAGTAGAAGGACATCAGGAAATTTGATTTCAGCCTGGGCTACATAGGGAGTATGTGTTTGGATCACAGAATGAGACTTTATCTCAAAAAGCAACAATGACAAACAAACAAAAAACCTCAAACCAAAACAAACAGGCATAGTAAATCAGACACTATACTCAGATTCCCACTTTCTTGTTTTGTGTGTATGTCTTTTTTTGGCTGGGGAAGAACAGGATCAGATAGAGAACATTTTCAGTTTCCTGATTCCCTTGGGGAAGTTGAGACTCTGGGGAGTGTGGAAGGATGGGTACCTTCTGAAGGCCTTCTTGGGATCTTGACTGACTTGCAATTTTCTTCTGTTTTCTGAGCTGTGTCAACATCTTCCCCAGAGAAGGGCTTTGGTTTGGAAGCTGTCCACTTCAGTAGCGCTGCCAATTCTTGATTCTTTCTCAAGTGGGCAAGGGTACATTTTGTTTTTGTTTGTGAGTGTTGGGGGAGGGGAGAAAGGAGGTACAGAAGAGCTACTCACAGCCAGTCCTTGTCTGGATTCCTCTGCGCTGGAAGTTTCCTTGGCTTTGTTTTGGTGGAGATGACTTTGCTGCACCGGCATTTAAGTTATTTGGGAAGGTGGTTCTCACTCCCCTCAGCTATCTGATTTGGGATGGCAGTATAAAAACTTCATTCTTAACCAGTATTGTCAACCCCTCTCC